GGAACTAGCCCACTAGAGACATCACAGATTGAGAGTTCTGGATCCTGAAAGGCAAAGGTCATGTGGTTTAGTACTGAAGAGTTTCTGCTTCAGTTTTGGAAGAGTACTACTCCAAAACACATTACACCTGTGCATGCACACACACACATGCACACTTATGTATGCACAGTTCTCACTCTTTTTCTGATTATTTCTAGTACAACTTATTTAGCTTTCTTCCTAAGAATATAATCAGCACTCCTCTTTCAAACATAAGACTACTTACAGATCTTTCCTTACCTGAAATTACTGTTAAATTATTCCCTACTATTAGAATTTCCTTTCAGATTCCATAGAGTAGATTCATAGCAGATCCCACTCATTCAAAACCAAAACAAGAAGACTAACAGTCATCAAAGCCTCTTCTTGTACGTACAACCCACCCTTATCTTACATACTTTCCTAGCTCTAGCATTCTCTTCCTGTCCCTGTACACCCAAGAACTGCTCTCTCCAAAGTCACCTCCTGGTTCTCAGTCTGGTAAGTACCTAAAATCTGTAATGTATATCTTTCTCGTGTTTTTTTTTCTGTTGCTTCATTTACTGGGGTTTAGTTTTTTGAATTTTTGGTTTCTGGTTGGCTCTTATGGGCCTGAGCCTCCTTGTGAGGAGCTCTTTTTATTTTTTTTCACTGAAACTTTGCCATTACTGGTCCTATGATGTTGTTTTTGAAGGTGTTAGGTCAGCATGCAGATGAAATCAAGAGGCCTGGAGATAAAGAAACAGACGAAAATTGGAGCCATGTGAATGATTACAGAGTTTGGAAGCAGAACATGGCATGGAGGTTGGAATTTTAAAATGTATCTCAGAAGTCCATGGTAGGATAGTCACATTGGCCAGAGTGGCAGAGCTGGGATAGGCCCAGGGTTGGTAACTTTCCCTGAGCGATTTATAGAGGGATACTGCTACCTCTTCTTCTCCACACATGTTCATGTCGCTTTTGTCTCAGTAGTCACAGTGTATCTACCAGTGGGCATATTTTTTCCCTAATCTTGTCATCTTTGCAGAATTTGACACTTTTCACCATTCTTTCCACCCCATTTCTCACTTTTTCCATATTAAAATGTTTTCTTCCTGGCCAGACATGGTGGTTCATGCCTGGAATCTCAATACTTTGGGAGGCTGAGGTGGGAGGATCACTTCAGCCCAAGAGTTTGAAACCAGCCTGGGCAGCATAGTGAGACCTCATTTCTATAACAACAACAACAATACCCCCCTCCCTCAAACCAAAAACTTTTTCTTCCCTTACATTTTGTGACTATCTTCCCTCCCAGTTTTTCTTGTGGCTTGATTTTTTTTTTTTTTTTTTTGGCTGTTTGTTGTATTTGTCTGTTTAATGTTGTCCACAGCACTTTTCCTGCTACAAACGTTCCCGGCATATCTGTATCTCATCTCAATCTTAAGTCAAGTGCTATATCTTAGTTCTAGACATCTTTCCTAAATTTCACTTCAGAATGTTGTCCATAATGGATCTCAATATTTTCTGCTCTTTCCTCCCACAGCTGCTCTTCCTTCATATTTTTGGACCTAAATTATGCACTGTTTACTTAATCCTCCAAGACATAAATCTAAACTCCTCCTTCTGCTTTACTGTCAAGAGTAGATTAAGTCCAATAAGAATACTGCTTTTACAACCTTCTAAACCAGTGGTTCTCAACATGGGGTTTGCAGACCACAAGAAGGAGCTCACCTGGGAACTTGATAGAAATTTAAAATTTTAGGCCCCACTCCAGACTTAATGAACTAGTAACTCTGGAGATGGGGCCAGCAATTTGTTGTAACATGCCGACGTGCTGATTCTGATGCACACTGAAGTCTGAGAACTGTTCAAAACTAGTTGTTAATCTGAGAGATCTATGGTTGGACTTCAGGAGGATCAGAAAGCATCAGTAACTGTAGCTAAAACTGAGTGTATGCCCATATATATTTTTCTCAGTGGAGAGCTTTTATTCCTTTTGTCTTCAAATGAGTTCAATGATCCTCAAATTTGGGGCTGTTCCTTGCTTCCCATCACTACTACCTCTTACCTTTGTTCAAGACCTCATTATAGCTTATTCAGATTATTGCAATAACCTACTCAGCTTCTTTGCCTCTAGTCTGCACCCTTTCCAATGTATCTCCAGGTTGCAGTGACAGTCATCTCTTTCCTTCCTTCCTTCCTTTTTTGAGGCAGGGTCTTACTCTATCACTCAGGCTGGAGTGCAGTGGCACAATCACAACTCATTTTTCACTGTAGCCTCAAACCACCAGGCTCAAGCAATCCTCCCACCTCAGCCTCCCCAGTAGCTGGGACTGCAAGCATGCACCACCACGCCTGGCTGATTTTTTGCTGTTATTGTTTGTTTGGTAGGGACGGGGTCTTTCCTTGTTGCCTAGGCTGGTCTCAAACTCCTGGGCTCAAGCAATTCTCCTGCAGTAGTCTCCCTAAATCCTGGGATTACAGGCATATGCCACCGCGCATGGCCAATCATTTTAGAACGTGAATCTGATCACGGTCATTCTTCAGCTCCAAGGTCTTCCTGCTTATGATAAAGCAACCTCTACCACGACAAATAATATCCTTCATAAAGGTTTATTCCTGTGCACGCATCTCTAGTCATTCTCAGCCCAGCAATAATAGACTTAGAATCTTCTGGACCTCACTCGAGCTCTCTTTTACCTCCCTGCCTTTGTATATTGTACATGCTCCGTCTGGAATGCTCTTTACTGCTCCTCCTTCCCTCCCTGCTTGGGTAATTCCTATTTGTTCAATATTCAGCTCAAGCAATATTTCTTCTGGGGTCTTCCATTAGAACTCAGTTTAAGAGGCCCTCCTGTGTGCTTTGAATCCCCCCACGCTTATCCCTATGGTAATAATAATTCTCAAACATTTTGATCTTAGGGTCCCTTTACATTCTTAAAAATTATTAAGGACTCTAAAATGCTTTTATTACTATCCATATTAGAAATTAAACCTGAGAAATTTGGTACTTTGAGATTCATTTAAAAATAATTATAAGCCCATTTTGTTAATATAAATAATGCATTTTTTTCCTTAGAAACTGAGACCTAAGGCAAAAATGATGCTTTTTTATGATAAAATATTTTCCCAAAACATTGGTGAGAAGAGTGGCATTGTTTTACATTTTTCAAACCTTTTTAATGTCTGGTTTAATAGAAGACAGCTGAATTCTCCTATGTATGTATTCTTTATTTTTTTAAACTTTTATTGTAGATCCAGGGTTACATGTGAAGGTTTGTTACATAGGTAAATTCATGTCATGGGATTTGTTGTACCGATTATTTCATCATCCAGGTATTAAGCCCAGTGCTCAATAACTTTCTGCTCCTCTCCCTCCTCCCACCCTCCACCCTCAAGTAGACCAGTGTCTGACGTTTCCTTCTTTGTGATCGTGAGTTTTTTGTGTATTCAATCTGTTGTGATATGTTTTGGTTGAAATATATGGGGGAAATCTGATCTCATGAAGATAAGGTGTTGGAAAAAGGAAAACTATTTTATAGCCTTTCCAAGTAGTTCTAGATATTATTCTTTGATACTGTACCAAACTTACATGTGGTAGTTTCTTAGCCTGCATTGCAGTGTGGACTGAATCTGAAACCACTTCAATTAAGTACTGAAATCCAACAGTCTATCTTGCACATACCAGAATCTTTTTGCCTTTGTAACGGCACCCACTGGCCATTTGAAAAATAGGTGTCCACTAAGTTGTAAAAATCACAAAAATGTTGACATATTTCATTATATAATGTCAAAAATATGTTGTTAATATCATGCTTCTCTTACTAGAAAAGTCTCTAACTACTGGAAAGCTGTCAAGCTTAAGTTGGTGGATACAGGTGTAACAAAATTTGTATTTTCCCGTGAAAATTCAGAGTTACACTAGTGCTTTTTCCGGAGACAACCATTTCACTTGGGCACGTAGCGGCAGTAGTTTCCATTTTTTCACACATATTCTTTAAAAGACGTGTATGCAAGGATGGATTTGAAAATATATATATAATTTTTAGTTCTTTATGAAGGACATTTTTAAAGTGAAACTAGCATATTTTAAAACCTGAAATGTTGTATGATGTGAAGAATACAAAATGCAACTACCAGTACAGACTGGCGCCACTGCCTTGATTGCTGTTAAGGTGTCAGCAGTTTAATCTTTCACGTTACTAGTGCAAATGTCAACAAAGTGAAAAAGGTCAACAAACTCTTAATATTATTATGAAAATCGTTTTGACCTTGCCAACCCACTGAAAAGGTCTCGGTACCCTTAGGGATCTGCGGAGGGCATTTTGGGAGCAGCTGCCCTGGACTCACTATTGTTGTCTCTCATTAGGTTGCAAGTTCTATGTGAACTGTCTGTAACTGTCTGTTACGTGCCCTTGCCTCATAGTGCCTGGGACACAGCACTCAATAAACATCAATACCTGTGGAAAGAGCGAGTAAATACAGGTTATAAACCTTCATCTTACTGCCTCTTTCCTTAATTCAACCTGAACCTACACATTTTGTAAAATTTTGTTTTTTTCACAATTAGGACGCTTGCCAATTTTTTTAAATAGTTGGAGTTGGGGTGCTGCCTGTATGTGATAAGGATGCCCTATAGTTTGGTCAAGTGTTTTTCTGTGTTACCCAAGAGTCATTCCTCCTTTACAGTTCCGCACCAGCAGGCCAGGCCGCTTGGTTTCCCAGTCCGAGACCGGAAGGAACCGGGTAGACAGGAGCACAAGATTCGCATCGACTTTTGGGGAAAACAAAAACACCGATAAACAAAACACTCGCGGAGAAACCAGCAGCAGCAACAGCCCCAGGCACCCAGGAGCAGGAAGCCGCAGCCCCGCGAGACCCGCCGGGTTGCCGGGGCGACGCTTCCGGCTGGCGCGCGCAGCCCCGGGAGCAGGGGAGTTGTGAAATGGGCGGCTAGATCTGCCCGGCGCTGTGAATTCGCCAGCGGGAGCGCGCTCGCGGCCGCGCGTTCTCCGCTTTCCCGGTTCCGTCGCTGACGCGTCGTAGACGTTGGGGAGCGGGAAGGCAGCGGCAGCGGGGTCGGGATGAACAGCGGCGGCGGCTTCGGTTTGGGCTTAGGCTTCGGCCTCACCCCCACGTCGGTGATTCAGGTGACGAATCTGTCGTCGGCGGTGACCAGTGAGCAGATGCGGACGCTTTTTTCCTTCCTAGGAGAAATCGAGGAGCTGCGGCTCTACCCCCCGGAGTAAGTGCTGGAGCTCGGCTGGGGGAGGGGCGCGGGCGCCATAGAGACCTCGGGAGCCGAGGCGTGGGGGAGAGCGCGGACGCGGGCGCGCGGTGCGTGTCACGTGATCGCCCGGGCTTACCTTAGTGCCCATATTTGATTACGGCACCGGGTTCCGCCGTCCGGCTCTCCTTACTAGTCGGATTTGGGGGGTTAACTACTGCACGGAGCCCTTACCAAGGATTTAGAATGGTTGCCCTTTCCGTGCCTCCGGGACTTGTGTTAGCTCATGGGTCTTCGAATTCCGTGCCCCCTCCTCCTCATTTCCCCCCGAACTTAAGATGGCCGCAGGTGGGCCCGGAACAGCCCTCATGGCAAACGCCTCATCGCGTTTTTGCACTCTGAAAACCGCGGAGACCGCGCGTGAGCCACTGTCCGGTTTTTAAGGCCTTGGTGTCAGGCCGTTTTGCTGACGAGAAAGCCTGCTACTGATGACAAGATGGAACTGGGGCTGTGTTTGTTTCCCAGGACGGTCACACAAAACTTAGCATCTTGATTTATCTAACCGAGCGCATCCATGTTCCCAAAGATATGTCTGTTCGCCGTTTTGGCAACAGATTAAATTTTCCTCCTGAAAGGTCACACTGTCCCAGAGCTTTCAGAAAAAGTGTCAGTCGGTGCAGGGTTATCCCTGCCGTATACATTTAAAATCCAGATCTTGGCTGGCATTCACGGCTCGCGGCCACTTCCCAGATGGTGTATTTTGGAATGGTAAAATTTCCCTCGTACGATATTATCTATTTAGAAAACTCGCAAGGGGTTTGCAGGTTGTTCACATTCTTGCACACATAAACATTTTTTTTTTTTGATAGTAGATCTTACAGTATTAAGATCCTCTGTTTTTTGTTCATTATATCAAAATCCTTTGAGGGAAGGGGTAATTGTTACCCAAGATTTCTTTCTTTAAAAAAGAAATTGATTTATTTCCTAGTGATGCATTTAGACCTGTTTTTGTTTAGTTTTCTATCTTAGGTTGTAACAGTGCTGCTGCATAGCTATGTAAAAGTTGTGTGGTTATTTTTTACTTTTTAAGTTTTTCTTGTCTGCTTTTTGTTTTGGAATATTTCATCCATACAGAAAAGTTGAAAGAGTAATACATTGAACATCCATGTTCCCTTCACGAGCATTTTGTCTTTTTTTGGCTACAGTTGATTATTAAAATTTCCCCAGTTATTCCAATAATGCTTTTTTGTCTGTTTTTGATGTAGTATATAATTAGGTATACTGTCTCCCTTGAATATGCCAAGTAATCCATGTATTAATAGTTATCTCCTTTAATCTAGTACAGTCCCGTCACCTTTTAAAACATTTGAAAGTCGTGACATTGACATTTTGTTCTGTAGTTCATTTTGTCTTGTAAAATGACCCATAATCTGAGTTTATATAGATGAGATATATAGAGATATGTGCATATATGTATCTCTCTCTTTATATTTCTTCATGACGAGATTCAGGTAGTACATTTTTGACGAGAATACTGCATAAGTGCACGCACATACATTTTGATTGATTAACCATGGCATTATTGCTTTAATTAACTTTTGGAAATGCTTTCAGCCATCTCAATTTAAGCTCGCAGAACATTTCTTAATAATTGAGAATTATTTGGGGTGAGTGCTGTATCCTGCAGGTATTGGAATCAATCAGTAAAATATTTTGTACATGAACCTTTGTAAATCTTGCTTTCAAGGCTGTGGTAATAAGGTATCTCATAGGTAGAAGAAATATATTGCAGAATGTTCTTCATTATCAACATAACATTTATTTGGTTGAAACCTGGGTTTGGGTGACAACACATTACCAGTTATTAACTGACAGTAATGGGCTACTTTTTTGAAATCAGGTGTTATTACTTGGAGTTTAAAAGTCAAAGAGAATAAAAAGTACTTAAACATATGGAAGATTACGGTAGTGTGTGTCACAAACTGTAACACATAAAACAAAATTATTGCACACATGTAACGTATATAGGCCAGGCAAAATCCTTAACTAGTTTTTCCGTAAGTGCGATACTAGATCCCTCATTCATGTTCTAAAGCAATATTAACATGCTTTATTCACAGGTTTTCTGCTTCGTAATGAAGTTATCATTGCCTGGTCCTTATATTAGAAGACGTGTTTGCAGATTTGGACCGAAATGGATAAAAATTGCAATAGTAGTAGTTGTATTGAAAATATATTGTTTTACAGTGTCACATAAATTATTTTACGACATCTTTAGAACTGAGTAGAAAATCGTTTTAAAATTGGAAATATATTCATATATTTATTTCCATATATATATTTCCAAGTATATTGGAAATACAGTAATAGAATGTGAAAATAGTTTCTCATTTAAATTTTATGATTGAGCCAGGGGTGGTGGTGTGTACCTATAGTGCCAGCTACTCAGGAGTCTGTGGTGGGTGAAAGAATAGCTTGAGCCCACGGTTTGATTCCAACCTGAGTAACATATTGAGATCCCTATCTCTTAAAAACAAAAAATGACTTAAGTTGCTAGTATGAAAATTCAGATTTTAAACTTAATTCTTTTGGCATGATGCAGTGGTTGAGTTTCATCTTTATATTTTAAACGTTAAGAATTTTTTAAGGTTAGGGAATTCTTGTGAACATTCACTGTAAGCATTAATTTTTATTTGCAATTTGTCATCCTGTTTTTGTGCTGCCAGTTGATAAATATGTAGAATTACTATTAACTTTTTGTACGATAAATCAATCTCACAGCTTGTGAAAACTTCCTTACACAAGTAAGAAATCCTTGTTGTTTTTTCGGTAAATTTTTCTTTGAGGTTTAATGTACCTACAGAGAAGTGCACAGATGGTAAGCGCAGATTGGTGAATCTTTACAAAGTAGACATATACCTGTATAACCAGCACACAGGATTATCTGCACCCTGTAAGTTCCCCGTGACCCCCTTCAGATAACTAAACCCTGAGGGGTAAGCCTATCCTGATTTGTTACACTAGATATTTTTCCTGTGTTAATTTTTTTTGCTTGATTTCCTTCACTTCTCTGGTCTTCAAAAGTTCTAAGAAAGAATGGAAAAATCTGTCAACTACTTATTTAAGTTTATTTAGTTTAAAAAAAAAATAACCACTAAAACCACTTTATAGAAAATAGAGAAAAGGAAACAGCACTTGTGATCCCACCACTCTATCAAAGCTTCTTTCCATTTCCATGTATTTCCCTGCAGTCCTTTTCACATGCATTAATAAATATTGAACATATTACCTCATTGGTTTTAAAAATAATTGTATAGTGCTATCATTATGTAACATATGTAATATAGTGTAATCAAAGGAATCATACACTGTGATTTTGAACTTTTTTCACTTAATTTGTCATAAGCATTTTCCATATTGCTGTTTTATTTATAGTAATAATATTTAGAGATTAGTAATTTCTGAGTGTATTGTATGTTTTTGAAATTCTATTGTTGGATATTTTGATTGCTTTTTTTGGTATTTCAAATTAGTGGATTTTAGCTAGAAACATTGGTAGGTGTGTATTTTTGATTGTCAACAATGATTGGAGGGCCTGTAGGCGTTTAGTGGGTAAATGTTAGCAATGCATAAGTAGTCTTAAGCAGGAGGAATTGTGCTAATCCATAGGGCCACTGAAGCCCAGTGGAGAAACCCTGTTATAAATAATGCACCAACTAATATTTTTGTACATGATACTGTATGCTTTGCTCATGTTTTGGCGTTATCTTTTTTGGTAGGTCCTCTGTCCTCTAAAGGATGTATATATTAATGTACTGATAAAATATTGGACATATTATTACCTCATTAGCTTTAAAAATATTGTATAGTGCTATTATTATGTTTAATAAAAGACAAAATAACCCATTAGGGCCAAGAAATTTAATTGATGCCCAAAAAGTTGGTTCTTTGGTTTCTGCATTTACTACCCAGTGAGAAGTTTTAATTTTTTTTGAAAAATTGGTAAGATTTTGTATTTTAAAAAACCAAAACTTAAGTCAACAAATGAGATCAAACTAAAATCTGCTAAATTTGGGTACTGCTACTTTCTTTTTTAAAATTTATTTTAAAAATTTTATTTATTTAATTTATTTATTTAGTAAGTAGAGACAGGATTTCACCATGTTACGCAGGCTGGAGTCAAACTCCTGGGCTTAAGCAGTCTGCCTGCTTTGGCCTCCTAAAGTGCTGGGACGACAGATGTGAGCCACTGTGCCTGGCCTGCTTGTTTCTATAGATACATACATTTAGACCAAATGGAATATGTCACCCCCTTTTATTTGTTTTTTTTCCCCAAGGTCTTCCTCTGTTGCCCAGGCTGGTCTTGAACTCCTGGGCACAAGCAAGTACACATTTGTTTGATGAGCTGTCTGTATGTTGGCTTGCCACTGTAATAATTTTAGTTTATAATGGTCAAAATAAAATAGTGTTACCTTTCCTGAAAATTCCAAATATTTGTATTTTTATAAAGTAAATGTAAGTTGATCTTTATTCTATTTTAAGGAAGGTAATTGGAAATGAAAATTAAGAAAATTGGCTGGGTGCAGTGGTCCACGCCTGTAATCCCAGCACTTTGGGAAGCTGAGGCAGGCGGATCACAAGGTTAGGAGTTCAAGACCAGTCTGGCTAACATAGTGAAATCTCGTTTCTACTAAAAATACAAAAAATTAGCTGGGTGTGGTGGTGTGCACCTGTAATCCTAGCTACTTGGGAGGCAGCAGGAGAATCGCATGAACGTGGAAGGCGGAGGTTGCAGTGAGCCAAGGTCCCGCCATTGCACTCCAGCTTGGGCGGCAGTGTGAGACTCTGTCTCAAAACAAAAACAAACAAACAAAAAACATTGCTTAAATTAGTGGAGTAGCCATACCTAGTATCCATACTTCCATGATAATGCTGTTCAGAAGAGACCAACATTTTTTTTAACCAGTTTCCAGGCTTGTGAAATGTTGGTGGCATATCTTCATGTAGTTACATTACAATCCAGACTCAGAGTGCATATTTCTGTGATGTTTTAAATTTGAAATGAAGTAGATTTCAACTAGGGGTATTTGGAAATGTGGTTTTAGTTTTCAGTAGTTCTTTCTTACGTTTACATTCCTTCACCAAAGGATTGGTCAATTTAGGAATTGTTGCTTCAGTGATGACTGTCAGGCTCTTGAAGGTTTCAGAGGCAAAAGAGTTACTCTTGTTGGAATTGCTAGAGCTTTAGTAGGTTGTTGTAATCATAGACTGCTTTCGGTTGCAAAGGACAGAAACTGTGTTACCCAAGGTAGATCAAGAAGAGACATTATTATTAAAAAGAAAGATTTCACTACATTGAAAAATAAAGATTGTAGTACAGCCAGGCCTCATGGGAACTATGACTGGGAACTGAAAGGTTATCAGCAATCAAGATGACTGTCTGCTTCTTTCTCTCCAGTGTTTATTATCAATTCGGTTTATTTCTATCTACTCTATTTCTTTGCATACCTATTCTGTACTCATCATTTGGCTTACAGCTTACTGTAAATCACCTTCCAGCCCAATAGAGAGAACCTGATTGATTGATCTAGTGCATTTGGTTGAGCATGACTTCCCAAATTATAGGTTGCTGGTCAGCCAGGGAAATGGGCCCTTGAGACTGGTGACTAATCACTTGTGGCTAGAGAAGCTTACAGGATCTGTTGAGGGTTTCACATAAGGAAACCATGCTAAGGTCTGTGCCGAAGCAGTATAGAACGTCTTGGTAGCACATGTAGGAGGCTGTACCTAATGATTGTGGTATCTTAAGATGGTTTACCAGAAGACTTGGAAATTTGAGCCTTGAAGAATAGTGGAATTAGCATTCAAAATGGGAGTTAGGATACCATAACCAAATGGAACAACATATGTGAAGATCCTTATGTTTGTGATGTGTTGTTGGAACCACAGGTATAATTTTTGGTTATCATCATTTACATGATGAGGCAAGAACAGAATAGTACTTTAAGGAAATTTAATATGTGGAGTGACACAATGAAATTTAGTGTTTAGAAAGATCACTGTGGGAGTTTTTGTGGAAGACCATTAATAAGGATTTGAGGTTGGGTGCTGTGTGATTTGTTAAGGGCTGTTTAGTAATCCATATGAGAAATGATGAGGGTCTGAATTAAGGCATTGGTAATGAGAATGATGAAAAAATTAATGTGACAAATATTTAGAAGGTACTCTAAGCAGGATTTATTGACCAATTGGATGAGGAGGACAGAAAGGTCAAGGATAATTTTTCAGTTAGAATAAGTAGAGTTTTGGAAATAACTTCAAATCTTTGTAGTTTGACAATTTTTTTTTCTTTTTTGAGAGACAGTCTCACTCTCTTGCCCAGGCTAGAGTGCAGTGGTGTGATCTCAGCTCACTGCAACCTCTTGTCTCCCGGGTTCAAGCGATTCTTGTGCCTCAGCCTCCCAAGTAGCTGGGATTGCAGGCGTGTGCCACCACAGCCAGCTAATTTTTGTATTTTTAGTAGAGATGGGGTTTCATCATGTTGGCCGGGCTGGTCTCGAACTCCTGACATCAGGTGATCTGCCTGCCTTCTGCCTCCCATAGTGCTAGGATTACAGGCATGAGCCACCCTGCCTGGCTGACAAAATACTATTTTTAAGACTAAATTCGTGGGGGTGGGAACTTTATTCATTGTGGTTATTCATTCTGGGATGAAGTTGATGAGTCCCAACCATCTTTTGAATGTTGCCAGTCATTGTGGCAGAGGAAAAGAGCCAAATAGTGGTTCTCAAAGCTTCTTCAGAATAGTGACACATGTTAGTTCTGCTCATATTTAACTGACCAAAGCAGGTTACATGGCCACACCTAACTTAAAGGAACAGAAAAAGGAAATTTTATTGTGTACCTGGAAAGAGCTTTGGAAGTAGTTGGTGGGCAGCGCTTAGGACGGTCAGTCTAGTGACTCCTAGGTTTCAGACTTGGGTAATATGATGGTGTCTTTCAGACTTGGGTAATATGATGAGATATGGAATATAGGGGACAGAGGGCAAGACTGGTAAGGAAGGAGGTTGATGAATGTATTTTGGACTTACTTAGTGACCGTCAAGGTGTAATATTCCAGCAGGCACTTGGACCTGGGAGTCTAGAGCTCACAAGAGGCCTGAATTGGCGATTTGGTCATGTAAAGGTGGTGAGTTAAGTCTGGATGTGGATATGATTACCTCAGTGTCAGTACACAAGTTGATTTGTCTTAGGTGTTGGGTTGGGTAAGGAGGGATTTTCGGTGAGGGCTGATGTGAATCCTGAATTGGTTGCCCTTAGGCAGAAGTGAGTTGGATGCTAAGAGGTACATCTTTTATTTTCAACTTTGGCCTTACTAATTGTGTTAATAATGTTAATAGTTTTAAGTTCTAAATGCAGATACATTTTATTATCACATTGTTTGGTTAATAGCATAAGTATATAAATTTAACCATTATTAATGTGGTTATTCTATGTTGTTTAAAGATGGATTTGTTTCTGAACGTGAAGAATTACAAAGAAATCTGGATTTTTGGATTTTAAAAATGACTGTGGAATTGCTAATTTAATAGTATATCAGAATGGTTTAAAGATTCTTGATTAGTTGAATGATTACAGTTGCATGAAGTTTGGAATTAGATGATTAGATGTTAGATGTTAACTTTGCCATTTACTAGTTCCAGGATTGTAGTCGGTTTTCTTTCCTGTTTTGTAAACAAAAGTAACTGACTATTAAGTCATGTATTTTTCAAGTGATCTCTCTTTTTTTAGTGTGAAAAATCTTAAATGTTTCAAATAGATTTTAGGATAAAATCTGTGTTACAGTTTACATATATACTTAGTTTCGTCCTGCTAAACAATTACAGATTTTAATGAAAAGTAATTATGGATAGGCTGACAAGATGATTATCCATGAGGATAGTGTATTTTCGAATCTAACAGGATGTATTCATTTTAGGAAAGGTTCCTTTCATTTGTGCTGTCTGGTTCATTTTTACTATAGGCCTGCCTGGGTTGAACTGAATCAAGTAGGACCAATTAGAGTCTATGCTGTTTTGCCTATAAAATATGTAAGATTTTGTTTGTAAAATCTTTTGTCTGGAAAACCATATCACTGTACAGCTCTGGTGTATGCAAAAGACCTTAATTTAAATTCCATCTTACCTGATTGTTTCTAAGACTGTTGTGAAGTTTAGTCATCTAAATGCTTGGGAAACCCATTTAAGAAGCGTTGGAATGATGATAAAATTTGAAATCTTGAGGATTGGAGCTTTTATAAAGGGATTTTTGCTTACATATGATACACTTTTTGAGTTAATTTTTGGGTTAAATTACCTTTTTTTTACATTTCACTCGGATTAAGGATTGATTCGAGTTCCAAGTTTTACAAGTAACGCAATAGGCCTGCCTCGATTGCCTTCAGTCTTGGTAGACAAATCACCATTAAATGACTAAGTTTCACTATTTTATGTGTTAATGATCCTTAACAACAAAAAGTTTTAAAGTCTTAATTTCGTAAGATTATGTAAAGATTAAGAAAGAAATTTTAAGTGAAAATGATAAAACCAAGCAAATGTTTATTAGTTCAATTGTTTTTCTTTTTATCTTGCAGCAACGCACCTCTTGCTTTTTCCTCCAAAGTATGTTATGTTAAGTTTCGTGATCCATCAAGTGTTGGCGTGGCCCAGCATCTAACTAACACGGTTTTTATTGACAGAGCTCTGATAGTTGTTCCTTGTGCAGAAGGTTGGTATCTCACTTTTTTCCTCTTATTTTAATTTCTGTCCTGTCTGTTATTGCCTTTAGCTTTCCTAGAGATTGGCAAGTAGACAATACTCTTGGTGTGTGTGTGAAAGTAAGAATGAAATTTGGAGAAGGTAAACATTTTTACCTAATAGTATTATTAAAATGGTTAATTTATGACTTATGTACATTTGAGATTTTACGATTTAACATTCATAAATTGGCTTCTGGTTTGCTTTGGCTTTCTGTAGTCAATTTGCAGATTGCAAAGAAAGCTTTCTGAAATTAAAAAAAAAATTGATATGGGAAATTACTTTAAATGTGTAATTAAGCATATACCCTGTGTGTTCAATATTAATACTATTACAAATGAAAACAATGTACACATTTTGGCAAATTGGGGTTAAGTGATATTTATAAGAAAAATATTTGTAATTTATACTTTCAAGTACACTCTTAAGGTAATTTATCTTAATTGTTACTATGAGATCATTATTATATATATAATATAGTGAGTACCAGGCTGGCATTTTTGAAGTCCCAGAATAGGACATTCTCAGTATTTTTCAGATAAACTTGGAAGTGTCTTTCCCATGCTTGGGGGTTAGAGTAGGTAAGGAAGATAAAAACGGATTAAAGTTCATTATTGGCCAAATATATCTTTATCTGCTGATCTGTAAGGCTACAGTGAGCTCCAGATTGGTGAGGTGGGAAAGGAGCTGGTTAATGGTTTCGTTCTACGAACTTTGTAGTGAAATTTCATACTGAGAAACTGCCTGGGAAAAAAGAAATCAGGTAAAAGGTTTATTAAAGTGGAATATTAATTATATCAGAAAATTAATGCCACCAATAACACAGGATCTTTTATTATGTTAGCTTATTAATTGGAAGGAATAATTTTATCAGTGTTGCTTGGTTGGAAATTGCTATATTCCCATAGAATCTTTCATATATCTGAGAAGCCCTACTGTATTTTGTCATAAATGTTCAAGATTATGGGTATGTAGATGTCCCTTTTATTGTTTATTTTACTTGATAGAGATGAATAAATGCACAGTCAGATGTACCTTTTTAATATTTTTAATATTACAACTTGGACAGTTTTACCGTTTTTGAACAGAAAAATTTAAGCATACTTTTATTGCAATTTATAAGTAAGTAAATATTTTAAAACACTAACCTGCAATTGGTATTGGTGAAACATTCAGATATATGTTTTTCATTAGTTGTGTTAAATACAGCAGAGATGAATTTAGGGAACCTTGAGAATTTCACAGTGAGCTGTTAAAAGTCTGATTATGCACTACAAGCAAAGAAATAGTGCATTATTGTATTAAAAAAGATAGCAGAGATAGCAGAGTGAGTGTGAAATAACCAAAGGAAAGTATTCCAGTGGAGTACTGTAAGAGGAGATGTGCTGTGGTGCTATAAGCAAGCAGTGTTCTGTTGACCTCACTGACTGCATCCTTTCCTTGATGTTGAACAAACAGCATCATAAGTGAGAAAAACCATAGAAAAAATTTTAAGAAGTTTTTTCAGTTTCTTTGAATTGCTGTTTTTTAGTGCAGACAGTAATGTGAGAAGATTGTAAGTTGTAAAAGTAACATTTGATGTGTAACAGTTTCATGCATATTAAGCCTTAGCCTTTGTTAATAAAACATGCCATTTCAAAATAAAATATGCTTTCATTATACTTGTCCAAATATGACCTCTTTTTGTTGTTGCGTGCATTTCAGATTTCTTTTTATAAATGTTAACACGTAGAAAAAGATACGGTCAAACATAACAAGGGTGTCAGCCTAATCATCAGTCATAACTTTATGTCCACATTTTCTAGTAGATGGATTTTGACTATTAATTTGGTTTTGTATGTTTTCTCTATGTGATATTTGTGCATTATTAGATGACTAGACTGGCCAAGGCAGACCTGTTACACTTGCCTGAGTTAGGCATTGTTTGCCATGCCACTAAACCTGCCGTCAAGTGAAATCTTCATTGGGGAAATGAGATCGGAGTCTGAACCGCAGAAGATGGACGCCCTGTCTCTGTTTTTTATTGTTTTACTTTAATTTCATTTCTTTTTCTTTATTTTGTCCCTTTTTTTGTTTTTGTTTTTGTTTTTGTTTTGTTAAATCTCTTTCACTTTAACTTGTGAGCTGGTTTTCCCAGTTCTTTGTAAATGGTATTTCATTAAGGGTTCATAACGTGTTGCAAATTATATTGGGAGATGATTAGCAGAGCTCAACCTTAAGATAAAGCAAATTTTCATGTGGTAAATTAGGATACAGTGTTGTGAAGCTCAGTGTGAGTCTTAATTCGTGTGTATGGACTGATAAGGTACATTTTGTTCTTGAAACATTAAAACACTGATAAGTATCTTAGGAACACTTTCTGATCTCAGCGCAACATTTTTCCAGTGTTTTTTTTTTCCCCTAGTATACATCTCTCATAAAAACTGATAGCTTCTAATTTTTGTCCTTCCCCCTGAAATTTTAGGCATACAAAATCGTCAAGGAAAATAAGTAAATATAACAATCTGGGAGTAGAGGAGAAGAGCCTTTCATTTTTATAATGGTTATTTATTATAGAACTTATTTCCTTGACTTACGAAGACTTTGTTGCCTATGTGGGGAATGGATATTTGAGAAACTTACTTGCATGTAGGTTTTTGTTAGCTTGAATTTTTCGTTGAATATTTTTCAGAGGTTTTTAGCTTCTAAATGGATTCTGAGATTAGGACTATTACTTTAATACAGTGAGAGATGTTTTCCTCAGTTGATTTTGAGGAGTATAGTTTGGGAAAAATGCTAAATGCTTATTTGTTTTATACTTTTATAAACTCTGTTATTTGGAGGGTAAATTTGGTAGAATTCTGTCTTGGAAATTAAGCAATGGAGCTTTTTCTTAAAGTACTTTTACCATTACCTTTAGGTAATTAGAATAAGTATATAGAGTAATTAGAATGGTAATTAACAGTTAATTTGTTTAAAAATGTGCTTATAGTGGAGTTATACATTTATAGTAGTTTATTACTCTTGTGAAAGGCAGTGAGAGAGTCTGACAACCTACTGATATTTTATTTAAGCTAAAAGTAAAAGACTTCATAACACTAAGTAGTCAACTTTTGGCCGGTGTTGAATACCCTTTTTGTTTGTATAGTCTTTCTACAATGTCTTCAATAGGTAGTTTTGCTTGTTAATGGACAAGTAATATTAAATTTGGAACATTACTAGATTAGAACTCTTAGTTTCTTTAGGTGCATACATTAAGGTAGTGAAGATGGAGTTTCTGCCTCAAAACCTCAATTTATCAAGAATGTTCAGGTTTTACAAACCTTTTAAGATACCAATTTATAACAGATAAAACAGGTGAAATCAATATAAATAGTATAGTGTATATGTGGGTATATATAAATACATGTGTTACTATCAATAACTAATACATATAAAGCAGATTATTGTTATTTGATGTTTTCCATAAGGCCCACCTGCCTTTTGTTGATGCATGTTAAGAAATCTGTTCTCCAGAATTTATACTGAAATAATAAAGATAACTTTGTTTTTGAAATTAATAAAATAACATACACTTAGAAGCTGCAAAGTTAGAAAATAGTAGGCATTTGCTAAAGCTAATAAAACGTAATTTTTATTTGCTTCCTATAAAGAAGGCATAGCCATTATTTAAATCAAGTTTTAAATTCTGACTTGAGTTCCGTCCATGTTTAGAGATATATTCAGATAATATTGTTTAGGGATTTATCTCTGCACATCTGGTTGTTTTAAATATTTTTACAACTGAAACCAGGCATGGTGCTTGTGAAAATTTACTACATATGCTGTATTTCAGTTTAGCATGCTTTTGTACATTGTCTTTTAAAACACTTTTGGAGAATTAATAATGGAAATGCTTCACCAGCTACCGCCTGAGTGTTCTTCTAAATATATCCACATGTAGTCAACTATTTAAGAATTTTTTTTTTTTGCCTAAGGGGATAAGGAAAAATAATGAGAAAGTTGCAGTCCTTATCAGAAGTAATTGGTTAGAATTCAGAAATGAATATGACAAATCGTACTTATTTCAGAGTAAGTTTTTCGTTTTTTTAGGTTGTAGGGATTTTTTTTTCCTAGTTAATGTTATTAGATTATTTTAGTGTTACTATTTTTATTAGGCAGTTAAAATGTTTTTAAGCAAGCTCTAAGGCATTAACCTCCCCCTTCAGATAAGTATACATAAATTGGTTCTAAAAGTTAATATTTTAAGAAGTTTTCTGAAACCAGGGAACTTTTTTGTTTCCTAAAACATTTTTAGTAGTTTCCCAAGGCAAATTTTTTGGAACTGAATTCTTTTAGGCATCTCCGATGTTGGTGAGATGCCTTATTAACTGAATGGATGTAGGCTTCCTTTTACATTGAAGTTGATTACATGGAGTAAGTTTTTGTTTCCTATTTGAAATTAAATGGAATCTGTTGGAGGGTTATCAAAATTGTTTGCATCACAAATAGGTAGTTTCAGTAACAGGATAGGGGCACTCATTAAGAAATTTCAATTCGCACATATTTGTTTTTTCTTTTTCTTTTTTTTGACTAATTTGGTTATTTGCCATTTCTGGGGATTAAACTTTAAAAAATGTTCTTCTTTTCTGTATCTGATGTTCTGTGTGCTATTAGTGATGCAGCCAACACGAACGGTTGTCATGTGTAACACAACTTTCGATCACCGCGAAAACACCGTCCTGGGAAAGCGTCCATGCTTGATATCGTTTGGTTCATGAACATTAAGTTTCCAGTACAGGTGACCCATAGCTCAAAGTGTTAAATAATTGTCTACATTATTCAGTTTTTAAAATAATATTCCATTAATGAGATTGTTAATATTTGAAGTTTTGCTCACTTTTATTTTTCCTAGTAGAGCAGGATAAAAGGAAAGACTTAAGTTCTTATTTATTTCTTTATACGGATCTGATAGATAGATACATTTATTATTATTATTTTTTAACTGCAAGGGTAATTATAAAATCATAGTGTAAAGTTTGTGTGGTGTTTCTGCTTTTTGTAATGTTTGGAACTTGCCTCTGCAGGTAAAATCCCAGAGGAATCCAAAGCCCTCTCTTTATTGGCTCCTGCTCCAACCATGACAAGTCTGATGCCTGGTGCAGGATTGCTTCCAATACCGACCCCAAATCCTTTGACTACTGTAAGTACTATAAGCCCTCTTATGAAAGAGGTGAACGTTAAACTATGTGACCAGTTGAATAGAGAGCTTCAAATTATTTGCATTTGGATCTTTTTTTTTTTTTTAATGGAGAGGATTCAAAAATCACTGCTTAAACTTTTTTTTTTTTTTTCACTTTATCACTGACTTAAACTGTGTTTTGGATTTACTCCTGAAGTAATAGGGGATTCATTTAAATTTGAGAACCCAAATAGATTATTCATTAGAAAATCAGTTATTAAAACTCAATATTTTAAATAGCATAGATTATCTAGGTAACTGTATTTCTCAGTTAATGAGGACTAAGTCCATTTAAAATATGTGAAATGATCCACAACTTTGGTAATGGGAAAAAATAGGCCTTTGTCTGATATTGAGAAAATGTGATAAGGTGAAAACATGGCAAAATATTTTTCCATTAACTATGCAGAATTAAATCATAATTTAGTAATGCTTCCTTAGTGATTTCCAAGTGGGATTTGAAAAGGATATTACTGTTACTGGCTCTTGGTTTTTGTTTAAAAAATTCTGGCCATATTTATTTTAAAAGAAGTGCCATTTTTCTTCAAAAGGCAACCTAAAGCAAAATAGAAAGCTCTCCTTAATTGGAAGTGGAATCTAGCTTTGTGGTGTTGGATAGGGATTGAATTAAGAAATGAACTATGTGATTGTAGTTAATTTATCTAGATTGTAAGAGTGGTTCCTGAAATTTTGAAGTGCAAAATTTTAGATTTGTAGTTTTTACATAACATTGCTATGCTAAAGACCTACATTCTGATTCTTGGGGGGAAATGTTTTTTAATTGAACTTACGTGTTCAAGGAACAGAATGGTGGTCAGTATGGGTGAAGCATAGTGAGTGAGGGTCATGAGTGTTTGAGATTGGAGGGGATAGATAGGACACAGATTATGGTAGGGCTTTTTAGACCATCGAAAGAGGGGTTTGAATTTTATTCTTAAGGTAATTAGAAACCATTCATGGGTTTTAAGCAGGGATATGACATGATTTGACATGTTTTAAAAAGATCAGACTGGCTGCTGCGATAATAAGTGACATTGATTTCTTAAACTTCTGCTTTCACCTTTAGGAAGTGCCGTTACTTAACAGCTGTTAAATCTTAGTTCTGCGCCATGTTTGTATATATAGTCATTAATGGTCAAAATGTTCTCTAATAGCAAAGTGGAAATGAAAAGAGTTGTCTTTTTTTTTTGAAAGCTCTTTTAATTCTGAAAAATTTTTTTCTGCTTTCAAATTCTGAGATCTTGTATTTCTTCTAGTTTACGTTCACATTAAAAATAATACGTTCCTTAATGCTGAAAGTAAAAATTGAATTTAGTAGTTATAGAAAGATCATTCAAAGTTTTTAAGGTTTTTGTCCTTTTCCTACCATGGCATAAATAAGGGCTCAATATTTTAGATATATATTCTTAGGTAAACTTTCAGCATGATAATAATATCCATTTCTTAGGGTTGATATGAGGATTAAGTTACTACTTCAGTTAAATTCGATGCTATGATAATTGTTGACTATTAGGAACGCATAGTCTGTGTTTTTCAATGACCAAGGTACAGTTTATTCTCATTCTTTGTGAATTCTGTATTTTTGAATTCACTTAGTAAGTAAAATTTTTTTGAAACCCCACATCAACAGTTGCAGCACTTTTGTGGTCATTTGTGGACATACACAGAGTGATGAAAAATTTGGGTTCGTCTATATGCATGGAGGTCAAAATCTTCTTGTTTTGGCACTCAGGCTGTAAACAGGCACGTAGTCTGTTTAGTGCTATGTTCTTCGAATTGTGCTTTTTGTTGGTGATTTCACTGTTAAGATGGGCCCACAAGTGTAGTGCCATACTGCTGTCTAGTGTTCCTAAGTACAGGAAGATTGTGAAGTGCCTCATGGAGAAAATATTAAATACATGTATTAGATAAACTTCATTCAGGCCTGAGTTGTGGTGCTGCTGGCTGTGAGTTCAGTGTTAATGAATCTACAGTATATAACAGATAAGGTGTCTTTAAACAGAAGCACATATAAAATAAGGTTAAATATTTTATTAGTTAATGTAAATGTGACCAGAGGCTCATAGGAACTTCACCCTGTATTTTCCCTGGGAATAATGGTTCAATATTCAATAATTCATTGTTTGTGGAAACTATAGAACATAGCTACCTCAAGTAATGAGAAACAGCCTGTTTTTTAGGGTCAAATTGAAAAGTGGCTAAAATATCCAGACAGTAAAATATATTTTGAATTTATTTAAAACTAATGTGACCTTATTTTAATAAGTCAGACATATATATGAGTTAAAGTTTGGAGTCCCTAGTCTCCTTTCATTCTTGTTGAGTTCATTCTTTTCAAGATTAGAGAATGGTAGCTTTGGATACTAATAGAAAATATGTGTTCTGTGTGTTTTTTTTCTTCTTTCGATAGCTTGGTGTTTCACTTAGCAGTTTGGGAGCTATACCAGCAGCAGCACTAGACCCCAACATTGCAACACTTGGAGAGATACCACAGCCACCACTTATGGGAAACGTGGATCCTTCCAAAATAGATGAAATTAGGAGAACGGTTTATGTTGGAAATTTGAATTCCCAGGTAACTAATTTAGAAAGAAACAAAGCAGCAGTAGCCCTTATTCTTTTTCTCTTCTTAAAAATCATATCAGTGGATACAGTAATATTTACCTGATTTTTTAAATGGATGTATTTTATCAAAGTGTCACTTTGTTTCCTTAGACAACGACAGCTGATCAGCTACTTGAATTTTTTAAACAAGTTGGAGAAGTGAAGTTTGTACGGATGGCAGGTGATGAGACTCAGCCAACTCGGTTTGCTTTTGTGGAATTTGCAGACCAAAATTCTGTACCAAGGGCCCTTGCTTTTAATGGAGTTATGTTTGGAGACAGGCCACTGAAGTAAGAAATCCTAAACAAAGAAATTTTAATGATTTTGAAAAAATTTAAAGTATTTTTGATGAAATTAAGGCTTTTTTTTTCTTTTTAATAGTAATTGGCAATTTGTGGAAAGGAAGACTTTGTGTTAAGTATAAATGAATACATGAGATACTTACCATTTTAGTCTTTAAATTCCTTTATTTAGAGACATTTATTTTCTCATTTTCTGTTTTCTAGGTTCTAATTCAATGTTAACATTGTATACCTTGCACAACAGTTGTAGGTCTTTTTCCATAGACTTTAATAAATCAGGTTAGTTTTACATTATGACTCTAGACTAATTGAGCAACTTAACATGTAGGTTGAACTATAGTACTTCCAGTAATAACTGTGGTAAATTCAAAATCTCCGGAAGGAAATTATAAGTGCCCACAAGTGTTTTAAACCAGACATTTTGACTTTTAAGGTTTGCTTACATCCTTGTTTGTAAAACGTTGATATAGCCTTCGAGATGAACTCCAGACCGGATACTCTATTTCATGCAGATTGTTGAGGCAAATATAGTTTTGCTTGAATTTCATAGATTGCTTTAGTTACACAATTTGATCAGGATTTTTCTGTTAAAGGATAACTAATTGTTGTTAGTGGGTACTTGTCTTCTCAGTGTGGAAGGGGTAAAGCAAGACGCATGACATCCATTCATGTGCATCAGAGAAGGCATTCTTATCTCATAGAGGAAGAATGTGCCTTGCACATTCAAAGCTATGTCTGACTCAGCCATGGTTCAGGGTTGGTTACAATGATGTACATAATATGATAATATACAGATAGCTTTCCCTTCTTCTATAGTGTACAGGATATCAATAAGATCTTTTGATCTGAAAATACAAATAATTCATTTTCATATTGGTATCAGCATTTTAATTTATTTTAATTCTAAGCTGTGGAAAAGCACTTAATCTTGTCTGTTTGAATTAAGTTAGCTAGGGTCCAATTTTCTTTTTCTGCCGTTTTTGGTTGTATTAGCAAGGAATGATAGGAAGTGGGGATGAGAGATTAATCATGGTTTTGAGGTTGCTTTTGGGTATTCTGTATTTATATCATTCTCGTGCTTCTGAGATGTCCTCAAATTTATAAATATGTGTATCATATAAATGTTTGTTTTATAAAATGTGTGTATTTGTGATATGCTAATATTTTTAATTTAGAATAAATCACTCCAACAATGCAATAGTAAAACCCCCTGAGATGACACCTCAGGCTGCAGCTAAGGAGTTAGAAGAAGTAATGAAGCGAGTACGAGAAGCTCAGTCATTTATCTCAGCAGCTATTGAACCAGGTAAGTCCATAACGTTGTTACATAGGTCATAGTTTAAAGATCATAGAATCTTAGAACTGGAAGGAAATTTAGAAATCATCTTGTTCAGTCTCTTCGTTTTTACAAACAAGAAGACTGAAACTCAAGAAATAGTAAGTAGCGTACTCATGTCAAAGAAAAACTTAGCACATATTTTATTCTTTTCCGTGATACTGAATTGAGGCACTTTAGTCTGAGCTAATCAGCCCTGAATTTTCATAGCAAAATCAGTGCTCAAAAATGATTTGCTGAAAGCAAAAATGTTATTGCAAGGCTAAAAAGAGTAAATACATTTAAGATGTTATGATTCGGCAGGTTTACTTTTCCTCAACATTTTAATTTTGAAAATAGAAAAGAGAGCCCGTGACTTAGAAAAAAATACAGATACTGTATTTTAGCAAGGTAAAGGAACACCTATTCAAACTTTTGTGTTGCTAATGAAAATAATTTAAAAACCCATTCTAAAAACATCTAGGTGGTTTACATTTGAGCAGATTTTCTAAATCAACACTTGGAATTTAAGCTTCAATTCTAGCAGAATAAGTGGAGAAAGGACTTAAAATCACTGTCACAGGAATTACAGACATGTTATAATCGTACGTTACGGCAGCAACATAATATTACGAACAGCTGTTTATAATCATCTGGTTTATATGTACTGCTGCAGGGTGGCTGCACTCAACGAGTTTATGCAATGACTTTCTTGGATGTTTCTGAAGGAGGAGGATGTACAGAGAGTAGGCCCCTTGCACTATATGTGGTACATTCCACTTGTGCCTGATTATTAACTGGGATCTTTAATTGTTCTGAGCTTACACTGCAAAGTGGTTTTTTCCTCCCAGAGTCTGGAAAGAGCAATGAAAGAAAAGGCGGTCGATCTCGTTCCCATACTCGCTCAAAATCCAGGTCTAGCTCAAAATCGCATTCTAGAAGGAAAAGATCACAATCAAAGCACAGGTGAGAATTTCTGCTGTCATATTTAAATTTTATTTTAGTTTTGTATTTAAAATATTAAGAGTTTATGAGTTTTTGTCAAAATACCAGAATTTAGAAATTTTAGTAGTGTACACCTGAAGTGTGATCACCATTAAATACTGTTCTAATTGTAATTCTGTAGTTGAGAATGAAATTTTGTCTAATGATATTTAATTTTTAAATATTTGAACTTATTTTTATTTTTAGAAATTAGTTTTGTGTCTAAAGATACTCTATTCCAGATTTTTCTAAGAGTAAACTAGTCTTTATATAGAAGTGACAAAAGCTGTTTTCATTCTTCATGTCGAGAAAAGGGAACATACTTAGTGACTATGCTGAAAATAATTGCTCAAGTTGCAGCTTTTTTGTTTTCTTTTCCCAGTCTATTCCAGGTCTGGGGAACACCACCCCAGATCTTAGTTTCGCACAGTTCCCTATTTTCAGTACCATGTGTCCAAAGGAACACTTTGAGTCCTTGGTATTGCTGGTGATAAGAGCCTCCTCTGCCCACTTTTGGACCTGAAACACAGGAGTAACATGCAGTTTCAACTTCAGTTATAGTACTTTGCTTAAGCTCTCTTATTTTTCATCATAGCTTTGTCCTTTTGATTTTCTTTATCTGTCATTTCTTTGGTATAAAGGGAACCTCAAAATGCAAACTTGGCAATACCATCTTGATTGGAAGTACCCTAAAGATCATTACTAAAGTTACAAATTTTGTTGTGTTTTTTAAGGTACGGAGGGGGCTGTTGTTGAAATGTGAAAATATGTATAGTGGATCCTAATTGCATGTTATATGTACATATGTACTCATACATATGCCTTGAGAGAACAGAGAGGGAAGAGTATATCTGTGTATGTTGGGGTTTTAAAGAAGGAGAAAGGATTTGGGGGAGGGAAAAGGAACCAGTTTATTGTCCATTGTTTTACCAGCAGGCTCAGTTTACTTTTTTGTGTGTTTGTGTGTGTTGATCAAGGAGATTCAAAGAATGAGGAAAAATAGGATGTTCTTTCTTAGATTCTAGTAAACAGCAGGTATACACCAGATATACTAGTGTATACTTGTCTATCCTTAGTTTGCAAAATCTCCTTTAGAATTTGGTTTTACTGCCTTTATCCAAGGACTTACAGTAAGGCACTTTCAGAACCAAGTGAAGGAGGTTGTTTCATGTACAAGAAATAAGGCAGTGCAGCAGAGGCCAAAATTAGGAAAGGATAGTGCAACAGAAGCTGCAGTGGTACTAGACTGTGGATATTTCCATATGTTGACAGGATGTGGTGAGGGTAAAGGAAATCAAGGAAACAATAGAATTAGTCTGAAGAGTAATATTACAACTTCTTTTCTGAGGAAGATTGATGACCTGAATCTCATTGTGTTGATTGTAAGAGACAGCTAATGTCCAAGACTGGAACGAGTTGAAACTTGATGATTAATAACATTGTTGTTTCTTTGATGATCTAAGTGAAGTTTTATGTGCTTTTTGAAATTATAGCAAATAATTTTGCTATCTACTGTGAGGTTTTTGTTTTTAAGTATATACAGATATTCCCCCCTCCAAGGGTTTGTGGGGGAGGGGTTATTCAGTCTAAACTGAAATTTGTTGATTAGTATTCTTATTTATGGGAGTACTTTTGTGTAGATCTGTCTATACAAATGTACACAAAAGGTCTACGTAGCATTAGAAATAATGTATATATGTTCCTTTGTTGTTTTTTTTTTTAAATGCAGTCTCAGTCTGTTGCCCAGGCTGGAGTGCAGTGGCTCTATCTGGGCTCACTGCACCCTCCACCTCCCAGGCGCAAGTGGTCCTCCCACCTCAGCTTCTTGAGTAGCTGAGCCACAGACAAGCACCACCACGCCTGGCTAATTTTGTATTTTTTGTAGAAACGGGGTTTTATCATACTGCCCAGGTTGGTCTCGAACTCCTGAGCTCAAGTGATCCTCCCGCCTTCGTCTCCAAAAGTGCTGGGATTACAGGCGTGGTATACATGTTCTTAACTGGCATGTATACATACATACATATTTTTGTCAGCATATTCTGTTTTTGTGCATGCATGTGGAAATGTAGCCTTAAGTTCATGAACAAATACAAAAGAGAATGAGTTCTCTTTAAATGAGAAAAAAAAAAAATTCCTTACCTAAAAACATTTGACTTGAAGATTCTGACCTGGAAGGATCCCGCTATCCCCCAGAAATCAGGAAGGGGATGATAGGCCTTTCTTGTCATTTCTTCCTCTACTAGCGGAAGTTGATATTCTTGAATCTCACCCTGACCTATCAGTCTTAGCACGAGCGTGGGTTGCAGGAACCCTTTAACTTAAAGGCCCACCTTCTACTTTTTCACCATTTTCAAGTGCTTCTAGAGCCATGCTTCCTACCTCCCAGCCCTCCCCCCACAGCCTTTCCCTGTTCCTTCCCCTTCTTATGGTTAGAGAGAGGAAGGAGTTTCTTGTCACTGTGACCTTGGCTAGGACTAGGGAGGTATGTTTCCATTTTGTCCAAGTTTTGATGCTTGTTTTATTTATTGAGACATAGAAAAGATGGATAGTACTATAATTGTTACAATTTTAAGTTTATAGATTAGCACAGGAACTACTAGACATTTTATAATATTTTAATGGAAAACAACTGATTTACAAATGAACTTTGCAGCATAATGGTAAGTTGCTGTTTATTTACAGTTTAATTTAAAAATATGATTTTACATTTTCAGAATACAATTTCTCATTAAAAATGAGAGCTACTAGTGATAAATCTTTAGTTAGATTAGATCTGCTTTTAGCATTCTTAATCAGAAAACTACTAGTGGGTAAGATTGACATGAAAATATTTAATGTCACAGTTAAAATGTAATAATTACTCTTAGTCACTGTCTTTTGACATCTCAGCTGCAGGGTAAGGTTGGAAGCCAAGTGATCAGTGCTTTTTATTATTAACTTATTTATGAGAGTTATACTTAATTTTTTAAAATAAGTTTTTTTGCTTAAGGTTGGAAAGCATTGCTTTGAGGAAAACAAAAGAATTGTATTTTTAGCAAGGACTGCTTAAAACAAATCTTATAGTAAGACTTTTTATTAAGTATATAGAAGCAAAGGCACTTTAAAAGATTACCCTGTGTGGATATCTGTAAATGGACTAATAATGTTCTCAGTTTTTCAGTTTTGCCTTAACATCTACTCCTTAACCTTCATGGCTCTTAAGTTACTAGTGATAAAGATTTCAGTAAGCTATGAATTATCTTTTTGTATTAAAAACGTGGTATATGATTTCTTATCTAGTGTCTTTGGAAAAAAATGAAAAATAATGTATGTTGAACCAAATGAGGCTAAAAAAGTATATATGGAATGAAGACAATTGTATATTATTTTTAAAGCCAAATAGTAGATGAGTAGTTTAAATGGAAATTAGCTATTGAAATTTTGATTTGTAGTGTTGATTAGTATTTTAATCAACATTTTGACTAAACTGAAAAATGTGTTTAAAAACAAAAAATGATTTTGTTATTAATGAGGATTATTTGGAGGTTTTTCTGGTTCAGAGCATACCACAAAGCATGGTCTTTTTCTTTTTTCTTTTCTTTTTTTGAGATGGAATCTCACTCTCTTGCCCAGACTGGAGTGCGGTGGCGCGATCTTGGCTCACTGCAACCTCTGCCCCCTGGGTTCAGTTGATTCTCCCACCTCAGCCTCCCGAGTAACTGGGACTACAGGTGCATGTCACCATACCCAGCTAATTTTTGTATTTTTAGTAGAGACAGGTTTCACCACGTTGGCAAGGCTGATCTTGAAATCCTGACCTCAAGTGATCCACCTGCCTCGGCCTCCCAAAGTGCTGGGATTACAGGTGTGAGCCACTGTGCCCAGCCCAACTATATTTCTTTTACTGATAATTGCTCTAAGTTAATTTATTAAAACATGACTATCAAGATGAGTTTTAGCTGTATAATGGATACTTATGGAAGTTCATTCAGCTTCCTTGGAATATATACATAAAGATATAAAGTTTACATTTAATGTTAACTTTTAGTAATGATGACATTGAGAGTTAAGAGTTTTAAACATTTACTTTTTGCTAGAGAATACTCCACAGTTTTACATACATCATCAGTTTTAATCCTCATGACAGCCCTAAGAGATGTAGGTATGATTCCTAGTCTACTTTATAGAGGAAGAAACTCAGGCTTGGAGAGGTTAAGTGACTAGCCGGAGTTCTCACAGGTAGTGTGTGGCAGAGCTGACTCTCAGAGCCAGATTGTCAGACTCCAAAGCTGTTGAGTCTAATCACTTTGCTATTTAAGTTGTGTGCGTCTGTTTTGTTAACATTTTAGTAAGTAGTTAGGATACCTCATTATGAAAAAAATCAAATTCTCAAAACACTTTTTCAGTGAGAAAGGGGGCCTAGTCCAAATTAAAATAACAGTTACCTTCCCTGCAATTGAACGTTTCCTGCAGTTAAAGGTTTCTTTTCATACAGGTTGAGACTCACAAATTTGAAAATCTGAAATCCAAAAGGCTTCAAGATCCAAAACTTTTTGAACGCTTTCGTGATGCTCAAAAAAATGCTTACTGGAGCATTTTGGATTTTTCAGTTGTGTGTTTGGGATGCTCAACCAGTTTTATACATGTGTGTATGTATATAATGCAGATATTCCAAAATCTTCCAAAATCTCCCAAAATGTGAAATTCAAAATACTTTTGGTTCCAAGCATTTCACATAAAGGATACTCAACCGGTAGCTGTGATTATAGTTACACATAATTTTTTAACTTGATATAGTTAAATCAAGGCATTGTAAATCCAATATTTGATTATATCTAGTTTTAACTTATGATTAATGATTTTTATTTTCCTGTCACAGTAGCGCGGTCATTAGGACTGTGCTTCCTTATATGTTCTTTTTGTTTGTTGACAAACAGTACACATTCACAGGAACTACTGAACCATGTAACCACTACTCCCCATCATGATGTGTTATGACCAGATTACATGCAAGTCAACAGGGAAAAATCTTCTATACTGATTGGAGGCACAAAATGACTAGCAAAAGCCACATCTGAAACTACACGAAATAACTGTTAAATTCTTTGTTTCTGTCTCTGTTCCAGACAGTGAAATATCCAGGAAAGTTTCCAATAAACGTTGGGATTATGTAACTAAAGTAGTATTTAAGAGAAAATTAAAAAATATTGTCAAATACTGTTAGGACAGATTTTAAGTTTTCTTGTTTGAAGGATCGTAAATTCTTAAAAGTTGAAATTCTAAGAATAAGTTTTGATATTCTAACAATTTGTTTTTCTTTAGAAGTAGATCCCATAATAGATCACGTTCAAGACAGAAAGACAGACGAAGATCTAAGAGCCCACATAAAAAACGCTCTAAATCAAGGGAGAGACGGAAGTCAAGGAGTCGTTCGCGTTCACGGTGAGTTTTAGAGAAATTAACAATAATTTTTTTTTCCCTCAGAGTTCTATTAGTGCTCAGGGATAATATTTTAATTGGCTTCATTTGTTAAAAATCTGTTGTAGTTTAGGTTTTTAATGAGAGAAATGAAACCTTTTTTATTGTTTTAGTAATCTAGTATTAATATTGATTACTATTGATTTGAATCTGATGTCAGTGTGACTCATGAGGGTTCCAAACTACTCACTTCAGCTTGTATAATATTAATAGCTTTGTTTAGCAGCTTCTTGTACACCTGAGTTTCATAAAAATGTATATGTAAATGTCTGTAGCTGCTATAAATTGTCTTGTGTTGGTAATTGTTGAAGAGAGAGAGAGGTCTTTTTGGAGGTGGTAGAATTATTTTAGTTACGAATTTATTTATTTTTGTTTTTAAAGGGACAAGAGAAAAGACACTCGAGAAAAGATCAAGGAAAAGGAAAGAGTGAAAGAGAAAGACAGGGAAAAAGAGAGAGAGAGGGAAAAGGAACGTGAAAAAGAAAAGGAACGGGGTAAAAACAAAGATAAAGACCGGGACAAGGAACGGGAAAAGGACCGGGAAAAAGACAAGGAAAAGGACAGAGAGAGAGAACGGGAAAAAGAGCATGAAAAGGATCGAGACAAAGAGAAGGAAAAGGAACAGGACAAAGAAAAGGAACGAGAAAAAGACAGATCCAAAGAGATAGATGAAAAAAGAAAGAAGGATAAAAAATCCAGAACACCACCCAGGAGTTATAATGCATCGCGAAGATCTCGTAGTTCCAGCAGGTTTGATGATGCTTAAAATTTTTACAAAGGGATTTGCTGATGACAATTGGAAACAAAAATTTTTATGGAGGGAGAAAAGGTTACTGTATGCAAGTGGAACCTGTAAAGTAATATAAAAACATTTTCTCCTAATTTCAGAGTAAACATTTCTCTAGCAGAGTGGAGAAAGAGATGATACTGGACATTATTTGAAAAGTTAGCTATTCTCTGTAACCACTATTTTAATAGAATAATAATAATTGTTATTTTCTTAGAGGGTGGGATGGCAGGGAAAGGTTACTTTTTAAAAAGTGCACAGTAAGAATTTGCCTCTTAGGCTTTTTCCTGGACTTTTCTTGAATGGTGTGATTAATTTTAATATGTAAAATGGTTTCTGAAGTTGCAGTGTTAGCTTTCTTTGTCACCTAAGTTAATTTTTATCCTTATTTTGTTAAGTGCATAACATTTAAATTTTGGTTATGTTTTATTTTGTCAGTTTTAGAGGTTGGAGTTTTTCCTTAGGACTGTGATTTCAGTTTATTAATAGATTTACTACCACCAGGTGGCAGCAGGTTGCCATAGTAACAGCTGAACAATGAGAACAACCTTGAGATTTGAGATTATCTAAACCTACATCCTTTACTTCAGATGATACCATGACTATAAATGGAAGTTCCTAACTTGTACTATACTATCTTAAAAATATTAAATATATATTAGCACGTTTTTAAAGATATTCTTAAGATGGTTTTTTAATAGAAAATAATTTGAGATAAAGGAATATATGTTTCCCATTTTTAAAACTTGTGCTTTAGTAGTTTATTTTTAATACCAGCCTTTGACTAGATAATAAAAGATAATCGTAGACCTTTATTGTGCACTTACTATATGCCAGACATCATGTCAGCAGACTTTTTCATGTCTCACCTTGTTTAATCCTCACAACAGGCCTGGGAGAAGATTATCATCACTGTTTTAAAACATGAGGAAGCTGACGCTCTGTACAAGAAGTATAGTAACCCTTTTAGTTTATTTTAGAGATTAAGTTTGAGAATTCTCTCACTAGTACTTGGTACTTACTTTTAAAGACTACCTCAGAAGCGCAAAGTTGAAAGCAATAGTATATGTTAAAACAAGGCTGAAAATAAACAGATCACTGCTTTATTTCAGCACGTTGAACCACAAATTGAAGAATTAATGTAACCTCATTTGCTGTGGGTATCGGTTTGAGCCTTGTAACTGCACCTTTACTGCAAAGTCATTTTGTTGATTCTGAGTCACACGTGCCTTTGTGTTTCTGTGATTGTTTAGACATTACCTTTCACAGCACCAAATACTATTTTAATTCCTTTTTAATAACTTGAATTTACTTTTTCTGATGACATGGGAATATTTAACTTTTTCTTGGGCCATTTTAAGTTGTTTGGTGTAGAGGAAAGTTCAAGTGTTCACATTCATTCCTAAATATATATGTATATATTTTTCGAGACAATGTCTTGCTCTGTCGCCCAGGATGGAGTGCAGTGTCATGATCTGGACTCACTGCAGCCTCCGCCTTCCCGGTTCAAGTGATTCTCGTACGTCAGCCTCCAGAGTAGCTGGAATTACAGGTGTGCACCACCATGCCTGGCTAATTTTTGTATATTTAGTAGAGACGGAGTTTCACCATGTTGGTCAGGTTGATCTTGAACTCCTGGCCTGAAGTGATCTGCCCTCTTTGGCCTCCCAAAGTGCTGGGATTACAGGTGTGAGTCACCGCACCTGGCTCAAATGTATTCTTCAATAACATCTGGGGCCTTGAGAATAAAAGATGACTGACATTAGTTCATAAAGGCAGCAATTTGGAATATTTCATGCTTTCAGAAGAGCTTGGTAAAGAGTTACAATTTCTTTCTTTGAATTTTTTTTTTTTTTTAGACAGAGTGTCACTTCGTCACTCAGGCTAGAATGCAGTGGTGCGATATCTGCTCGCCGCAACCTCCGCCTCTTCAGTTCAAGCGATTTCTCCTGCCTCAGCTTCCTGAGTAGCTGGGATTACAGGCGTGTACCACCACACTCAACTAATGTTTGTATTTTTAGTAGAGATGGGATTTCACCAAGTTGGCCAGGCTGGTCTCAAACTCCTGACCTCAGGTGATCCACCCGCCTCAGCCTCCCAAAGTGCTGGAATTACAGACTTGAGCCACTGCGCCAAGCCAAGAGTTACAATTTCTTGTCTTTTAGCATTTTTCTGCATTTCAGATGTTCTGATTTGTTACTAAATGAAAAATATTTTAACTGTTCAAAAAATAGTTAATATTCTTATTTCTAACATTGTCTCCTAATTTATACTTTTAAAGAAAATGATATTAAAGAATTTTTTAATGATTAAAAGTTACTGTCAATAAAGGTGATACCAAGAAAGGGAAGGAGAAAACAGTATTTATTGAGCACCTACTCTGTGTCACACTCTATGCTTTGTACATTACGGATTTTATCCTAAATCCTCAACAACCTTGTAAGACTTAAATTATTAATTGTCTTTATTTTTCAGTTGAAAAAACAGATTAGGTTAAGTAATATGATCCTGGTTGTGTAGCTGGGTAAGGTGTGTAACTCAAATTTAAGTCTAAATCTCACCAACTTTAGTTGTTAATACTATTTCTTTCTCAAGTAATTGTCTAGCTTGCTGTTGTCTATGGGGACTTTCCTCTCCTTATCATCTAGTGAGTATTAGACATCCACTTGTACATACTGCTTTCTGAACAAATAAGTAAAACAATTACACTGATCAAGGCAGAGCCATTTTGTGTAATCTTAAAGTCTGGAATACACTGACATTCACATGCTATGTAAAAAGTATTTTTGGTTCTTAGGCTGAGCTGTTAAGAGAATGGCATTGATGTAATGAAATAAGGTATCTAATTTCCATTTTAGGAAGTGTAATTTTGGAGTGTCTTGGGAATAAAAGTGGAGGAGAGAGTCTTAGGTAGAGGTAGAATTGACTTCTGTTCTCAGAGTTCTTGAACTTTGTATTTTAATGTCTGTTATATATACCGTGTGAGCGTTTTTTATTTTAGAAATGAAAAACTTTGAAAATATTTTATTAGTCTCTTAGAATCAGTTTCCTGAGATGGTAAGAATAACATGAATTCCAGAGGATTTGGTTTTTCAGCTATGTGGTCACTGATTATCAGAACTTGTGAGATAGATCATTGGATATGTCCTCATACCATATCCCTTAAATTATAGACCTAGTGAAGTTCCTTGTTTTTGAGTTGAAGTAGTTTAGAATATGTATCATTTGCTAATCTGATAAGCAAAATGGTTAATAATAAAAACGTAATCTATTTTATAATTATTCCTGTCATACTTACATCTCAGATTGTAACTATTTTGCTTAAATCTAAGCAGCTTTTACACTAAATTTTGAACTAATAGAACAACAGTAATGAAATGATAGGAGGTTGGAGGGAAAAACAATTTCTCTAAAATGATAGTAATGTAAATGCTTTTTAAAGTAGACATTGTTAATAATTGGGTATAGAAAGTTCACATTTTACAAGCCAATTTATGTTTCAGTTCTTGAAAAGGGCCTGTTACTTCATTATAATCCACAGTGGGGCAGTGAGGAGCTAGATACCTGACAAAGTATTTGATAAACAAAACATGTTTTAGCTACTGAGAAAGAACATACTTGAGAGAAGCAGAAACGCCATTAATATTTTTTCTACTGAAGAAATTGTTCGAATAAATGAGGTGAAAAGGAGGAGGTCTTCTACCCTTCCTAATATGAAGTCTTAGATGATGTTTTCATCAGTCTGTAAAATTTATGATTCATAATTTGACCCACTCTAAAGTTAGGTAATTGAACATGTTCATAAAGGACATAGGTTTAAACTGGCCTCTAAAAAATACTGTTCATATGAGAATATCAAGGACCCTTTTGCTTTTGTATATTTGAATTGCCCTTTATTTTAATTGCTGTTTTTAAAAATGATGTATTTTTGGCTTTCAGGGAAAGGCGTAGGAGGAGGAGCAGGAGTTCTTCCAGATCGCCAAGAACGTCAAAAACCATAAAAAGGAAATCTTCTAGATCTCCATCCCCTAGGAGGTAGGTTGGAAACTTGTGCTAAAACTAAACAGGAGAAAGCAAGAAATATTTTTAAAAATTTTAAGTTTATCTCTTTATTTTTTAACTTTATATTTTGAATGAATAATATATATGCATCATTCAGAAATTAAAGATAAAAAGTTATATATCAGGAAGTCTCAATTTCCACTCATGCCCATCTACACTGTCCCCATAAGTAATGACTTCATGAGGTTTTTTTGTATATGTTTCCAGTTTCATATACAGATAACAAGATGAGCATGTATCATTTTTTTCTAATACAAAAAGTAACACAAAATACACACTGTTGTGCACTTGCTTTTGTCATTTAACTACCAGGAAGTCTTTTTGTCACTTGACGAGGTCAGAGAGAGCTTCTTCAATTCCTTTTTATAATTGCATAGGCTTCCATTGTATGGCAGTACCTTGGTTATTTAACTAGGCTACAGTAGAAGGGGTTTTTTTGAATTTTCTTACCATAAATTATGTAATACTATAATTAATAACTTTGGACTTAAGTTGCTTTTAGTGTGCATGTGTGTAGGAAAAATCTGAAGAAGTGGCATTGTTAGTTTAGGTAATAAGCATGTTTGTAATTTTTGAGAGATATTTCCAAATTATCCTCTATAAGGGTTTGCAGCAGTTTGCAGTCTTAATTATGAGAGAAGTGACCACTTCATACATTTGAAAGCCATTTGTATTTCTTTTTCTGCGAATTGTCTGTATACTCTGCCCATTTTTCTGTTGGCCTTTTTGTTTCCTTTTCTGTTTCCAAGAACTCTTTTATTATAGGGAGTTTATTGTTTAGTGATGTGATTATAAATATCATTCTCAGTTTGCTGTTTCTTTTAAAAAATGGTGAGACTTGATTTTACAAAGGTTTTTCATTTTTAAAATAACTTTCTCTTTTTCTTCTATGACTTCTTATGTGAGTCAAAAACTGATAAAAGGCTTTTCCTATTCCAAGATTATGATAGAACTTTTTGTTTTTCTTGAACTTTTGTGGTTTTATAGACTTATGATGACAAGTCTTCTGTCCAGGAATGTGGTGTATCTGATGAGACTGGGCACGTTCAGGGTGATAATGGCTGTAGACAAGGAATGTGATATATCTTATTAGGCCATCCTCAGTGTTTTCAGGAGTATTTCAGCGTTCGTTTCATACAGGGTTTATGCATGTCTTAATTCCTAGAAATTTTTGTTGTTGCTGTTGGAAATGAGGTATTTTCTTTCATTATGTTTAATTGGAGGTTAGGTTTGTACGTAGGAAAGTTATTGATTTCTGTATATTTATTTTTTTAATCCCACTGCCTTACTAATTGATTATGGTTTTTTAAATGATTTTCTGTGATTTTCCAGCAGAGGGGTCTTTTGTTAATTTGCTTATAGGTTTTTGGCTTTTGTGAGAATAACGGAAGGCTTAGGATACTGTAGATGCAGGCCATATTTGTATTTTTGAAACAAATGCTTTACCCAGGAAAGTCAAAACTTTTGTCTTACGAACTGAAATTACACAAAAAAATACATTCAGAAAATGTCACTCCTGTCTCCATTCCTTCTGCCTTGTTCCCATTCATCCTGTGTAATTGACCAATCATTTGATTGTCTTTTCTTTGTTTCTCTTTGCAAAATGAGGCAGATACATATTCATTTGGTTTTATTTTCTCCTTATTGCAGTACATAAACAAATCTTGAATATTCGAAAACTATTAAATAGGCTATACAAAACAGTGTTTTATGAGAACGTATGGTGCCTCTGCCAAAATGACTTGTGTATCCTTAAGAAACTAACTGGGGTAAGGGTGGAGTAGGTCAGGTTGTAGGTCTCATTTATGTTACTTTGCAAACCAGCTTACTGTTAATGCTTATTAACAATGCATTATTTTAGTTATCCAGTGTTAGAAAAGGATATCTTGTCAAGAATATAATCGATCTTCAATTGCTTAGAATTTAACTGACATATCAATATTCTTATAGCAGAAATAAGAAGGATAAAAAGAGAGAAAAAGAAAGGGACCACATCAGTGAAAGAAGAGAGAGAGAACGTTCAACGTCTATGAGAAAGAGTTCTAATGATAAAGATGGGAAAGAGAAGTTGGAGAAGAACAGTACTTCACTTAAAGTAAGCAGTAGTCATTCGGTGTCTGGCACTTGAGATTGTTCTTTATTGCATACAAATGGTTTTAGACTGAAAGCTCTTTGGGGAACAGTGTCTTGTACATTGTTGGCATTTTAAAATATTTAAAATATTTAATTGGTAATTAAAAAAACTAAATGTTGAAGAGATAAGAGCCAATTACAACTAAAATAAAACTAAATTAAATCATAACGTGGCATGCAAGAAAAATTTAAGAAATCAACAGTAACAGATGTATTTGATTTTATATAGATAGTATTTCTGCCTGATGCCATTTTCCTCAATTTATGTTTTAACAAATTTGAAAAGACTTTGGTTAACATTAGGTTTGTTGTGTTAGAAGACCTAATGGAAAACCACATTCCACCAAGTGAGCTTTTTTGTCACTTGGATAAATAAGTAGTTGTGAATTAAGTTACTTACACTGGTAAAGTATATTTGTATTTTGAAATTATGAATTTTGGAACATCTGTCTTACAGTTTTATGTACTATAATACTGATAGAGGATTATCATCATCATCAATAACATTGATAACATTTATTAAGCATTTACGATGTTCCGGGCACTGTTTGTTCTTATTTAATTCTCGTTTAAATTGAGGGTAGAAATTGGAGTGTTCTTGAACAGCCTTTTCCAGGAGGCATAATGACTTCCTTTTCTACATTTCCTTATTTTTGCATTGGTTTCCAGATTAAAAATATATCCTGGCATCCTTGGAAATTATTTCACTCTTTCAATAGATCTGTCTCACTTTTTCAAGTCTGTCAGCAACATTTATTGAGTACTTGCTTAAAATTTCTTTTCACCAATTCTAATTTAATTTCCATGGATTGTCCATCTTTTATGAGAATACAAAGGGGAAATTGATAGTGTTTGCGTATTCTTTACATGTGAAAACGTAATGGGAGAAAATAATACCCAGTTTTTTTAATTCGCAAAAGATAAAGTTTCACATTTTTGTCATAATAGGAGGCAGTTCTTGAGGAAAATAGTAAATGCATACGTTAATTACTCTTTGTAGGAGAAGGAGCACAATAAAGAACCAGATTCAAGTGTGAGCAAAGAAGTAGATGACAAGGATGCACCAAGGACTGAGGAAAACAAAGTACAGCACAACGGGAATTGTCAGCTGAGTGAAGAAAACCTCTCTACCAAAACAGAAGCAGTATAGGACCGACAAGTGTACCTCTGCACTCAATGCTGGAATCAAATCCAAAGCTTTTAATTCTCTCAACAAGATGTAAACAGGAAAGAAATCTAGTTGAACGTAAAGATAGGATCTAACAGCTTTTCCAGTTGTTAGATGACTTTGTGACCATCTTGTTATTGAGTAAGAAAATAAAGCATGGACATCATGAAAATAACAGATGTTACCCAAACTCATCTTCTAAAAATCTGTGTATTTCCATGGTGGCTGACACACTTGTCATGTGATTTGTTAGTGTTTGCCAAGAACCATTGCAAATAAATTGAACATCAAAGATCCAAGTTTGTACTATCCCTAAAGACTGGAGATAAGCATTGGAGGCTCTTTTAAAAAATGCTAGTTACTGAATTTTGTATTGTTTTACTTTTTTTTAATTTCAGTATATACAGTTTGATGATGTGCTTGAAATTGGTGCAAATATATACACACCCTTGTAAGTGCAAAGTATGTAAGAAGTTTTAACATTTACTTCACAGGACTTATGGTGATTGTGTTAAATTCTCACTATTGTGTTTTCTTTGGCTCACTGTTTAGGACAGTTTTTCTTTAAAATAGTTTTGCAGATTAAAATTGCTTAAATAAGTGGATTCAAAAACTGACAATGCATGCTACTGTTCTCTTTCAAAAGGAAGAGCAACTGTGTTGAATACTAATAATGAATTAGTATTCAGTGTTTAGAATCATTGGGTCTACCTGCAAAATGAGCATTTCTTTTTAAATTTTCTTGACATTTCCAAGCTTATTATGAACAATATTGCAGTGTGTCTTGTCAGCTGTAGGTGGCAAAGGTGCCCTTATAAAAAGAAAACTGGCTTTTCAAAATGGGCTATGGGAGCACAAGCTGAAGCTTTAGTGCCTTCTACAATGTGGTATACTGTTTTCTAGAATTTTATATGTGCTAGTCATTCTCAATTCATACGGAATCTAGATGGATATTTCATTCATACCTGTAGAGAAGTGTGTAAGTGGTATGTCAGAACAGCTTCTTACTGATTTCACCTGATATGAGAAGGAAGTCCTGTTTTCAAGAATGACATTAGAGTCATGCAGCTTTGGGACCATCAGTTTTATACTGTGATAATTGAAAATGAAACGTGTTCTTATTTTCCTTAAATAGAAGGAAACCCTTTAGTTCTCTACATTGGATGGCCTTATTACCTCTCAATCATCTTTTCATAAATGATGTGCAGAAATTGTACTTAAGGACTTAGGAGTATATGGGAGGTTATTGGTTTTATGTTTAAGGATACGTTTACTTGAGTTTAAGATACAGGTCATCCATCATTCTTAGGCTCACTTTTTACAGAAAGTATGCAAACAGTAAAGTGACAACACTGCTAATGTTTTTCCCCAGTACTATAACTTGTGGTTTCTGAACTCATTATTATTGTATTTTCAAAAAAGTAATACCTTTTAATTAGTGTATTAAAAAATTAAGTATAATTATTTTAATGCAATCTAATACAATCAGATTACTCAGTTGCCTTACCTCATGGGAAGAGTTACTTTTCTAGATCTAAAAAGCTGAATAGCATGTTCGTTACTTGGTTTCAACTAGAGTTTTCTTTTAATGTTAATAAGATTGAAACTTTAGTATTTGGTGGGGAATGGAAAGAGTTGCCCTTATTGCAAGTAATGAAGCCTGATTTGATTATGAAGCTGCTTAATCACTCTTCATGTGTTCAGAATTACTGTTTTTTTGTTTGTTTTTCCTTTTTGTCACTGTGTACATTAAAATTTTGGAAGATGCTTTACTATGTAAAGTATAGATGGTCATTTTAATCATTCAGCCACATATGGTTGGCTGGTAAACAGCTTATTCTGATACAAGAATGCTTGGGTGCATATGGAAAGATTGTGAAAGAGTGTGTCTTGCATCAACAGCTGTCTTATTTATGATATATAAGTAGAAATAGAGCAAATGTTGTTGGAATCTGTTATTTTTAGTACCATTTCTTTAATAAAGCTAAGTATTTTAGAGGAAAATATTTGTTTATGCATTTCAAAAAAGCATTTTAGTTTTATCCTGCTTGTTTTAGTTGGCATTGAGATTGTTGTGACGTGGAGAGTGTGTGTTTGTGTGGTGTCTATGAAACAAGTCATTTAAGGTATGAGTGTTTTCTTGTACTCTGGACCTATTACATGTTTTTTTATGTCGGTAATTAACATTTAATTTGGTTCCTGCTGCTAATAATTTTCTTTGCTGATATTTATTCAGCTTTAAAATAATCTTACTATAATCTTGAAACACTGATTTGTAAAAGCTAAGAATGAGTAGGAATACAAGAGATCTGGAGAAACAAATCAGATTGTTATTGGGGTTTAACATTTTCTTATTTGGGCTTATGGAAGCAAGGCATTCTAAGGTCTAGAGGGATGTATGTGTGTCCATGTGTGCGTATGCGCACGTGTGTGTCTGTTTGAGACATACTTTCTCTGTTGACTTAAAAGAGCTCATATTTTCATTCATTTATTTTCTTTCAGGGTATTTTGTTTTTTTCTTTAAGACTTTTTTTTAAATCCCAGGTAGATGTTGTCAGATAAACTTGAGGTAAGGCCAAGAAGACAGACATTTTATACTTGATACTTTCTGTAATTATCTTTTTTAGCTTGATTACGTAGAGTACACTCTGTTCCTTAAGTTGTAGTTGCTATTTATCATTGTAGACAAATTCTGTTGCCTTTCAGCAACGTATACTGAACTAGTATCATAAGATGGTGCATCAGTTCATAAGCTAGTGCATCGGTTTTGTGTCAAAACTTTGAAATCCTGAAGTTCTGCAGTTATTGTCTTAGTTATTTTCTATCTAATTAGCTTATAATTGCAAACACTAGTCAGCTTGTGATCTCTGTGTTTCAAGTTCTTTTCTTCAAGAGGTTCAGTACCTACTATGTTGATCTTTGGCAGTGCCAGAGGCTTAAATTTTGACATGCTCAATTAAAAATAAACACTGGCGTTTATAATGAAAAGGTTTTTTTTTTTTTTGCCGGCGGGGGGCAGGGGGTGGTCCAAGAGAATTTATTTTGTGATAGTATTAATTTTCAAGACCTTCAGTCATTCCTATGTCTATGTTGCTATCTTTATTTTAAAACTTAGAACCCTGATCAAACTCCCCTCTCAAGTGAAGATACTGTGTAGATTCAAGAGTTATAATGTAGAGTAATAGGCCTTTAAGTTTTTTTTCAATCTTATTAGAAATAAAGAGCATGATTTAATTATTGTTGAATTAGCAATTAAAATGAATCCCTTTGGAGGGATGGCATTGAATAACTTATGATTTCAGTGAATCATTTATGTTTTCATTGGAAGACAGTATCTGATTTTAACTGGGTGCATTATGAAGTAGAGCCATTCCTACGAAGTAAATGTGCAGTGCCCATGTGTTTCTTGTGTTTAAATTTATTTTTACTACATACATATTATTTTCTCATGTTTATTTACTAATGTAATTTTCACTTAAAATTAGATTGTTTATTTTCAAATTTTAAAAGCTAGTGCTCTTAAAAGAGCTAAATTATATTTCTGGAAACAGGAGTTTAGTATAAATGTAATAAAATTTTAAAATAAAATTGACTTCCCTACTTAGTCTTGGGTTTGTGGGTGAGTTTTTTAGTACACTTTTATTGGTTGTTTTGCGTGAAGAGTAATACGTTTTTATTATTACTTTTCTTTTTGAGACAGGGTCTCACTGTCACCCAGGCTGGAGTGCAGTGACATGATCATGGCTCACTGCAATCTTGACCTTTCTGGGCATGGATGATCCTCTCATCTAAGCCTCTTGAGTAGCTGGGACCACAGACATGTGCCACCATGCCCAGCTAATTGTAGAATTTTTTTGTAGAGACAGGGTCTTACCATGCTGCCTAGACTGGTCTCAAACTCCTGGGCTCAAACAATCCGTCTGCCTCAGCCTTCCAAAGTGCTGAGATTACAGGTGTGAGGCACTGCACCTGGCAATACATTATTTTAAAAGTGAACGCTAAGCCATTTATGACTTTGGTTATATTCAGTCAGTTGGATTTAGTAACTACTAACTAGCTTTCTTCCATTCTAAAGTACTTTTATAGTTTCTAGCAATTAGTTTGTTACAATTAGCTTATATCAGATATAACCTTTCTTAATATAATGTTTATAAAAGGTTCTAAGTCTGTTGCCTGATTTTTAAATTTATATCTAGTTAACATTTTAATTTTGAAAATTGCCAACTTTTGGGAGATTTCACATATTTTACCTCTAAATTTTATTTTTCCAGGATTGGTATGGAGGAGTAGTACCTTGTATTCTTGGTTTATTTTTATTTGCTAGACATAATTTCATAACTATATATGTAAGCATAAATTCATAAAAATCGCACTGAAAGAATAGGTTGATTTCAACCATTTTGAGGGTACTGGTAGGTAACACACTGTTGGGGAATAAACTAAAGAATTTCTGATTTCTACAGTAGATTTAAGTATGAAATTTGAGTATACTGTGTAGCTGTGTAGATCAACTTAATGCTTAAAAAATTACCTCCTTAATGATTAGGTTAATAGAACAGTGTTAGATTATCAAGGGAAGAGTTTGGAATGTAAACATAAACATGCTGCATAGGTGGTGTTTATTTGTGAGTAGGACTACTTTTAAATGGTACTAGTAAAGATTTATCAAATGATGCTGCTATTATGTTGCTATATTTTTAATAAAATGAAAATCTTAAAATCTTGCCACTGTTGAGTAGTAATTTCAACTATTTCTGGAACAGTTATTTGCATATTTACATCTTATTTCTGTAACTGAAAGGGGATAATAGGCTTTTCCAGGGTTCAAGATTACTACCAAAAATGGAAGGTTTTGCATACTGGGCAATCTTCGTGTTCTGTGGCAGTTAACTCTAGTCAAGGCTTTTCATATTAAACATTTTGCAGTACCCAAGTAAGTGATAGCTGCTCTCTGAATTTCCCTTCCCCCCAGCCCCCACAAATTCAGCTTCTTGCTAGGATATTTGTACAATGAAAACTATCACTTTGTCTTTTAACAGCAGGTGGAATGCCTTCTCCCATTTATAACAGGTGTAACTCTCCATTTGGTGAAAGAGCTGTGTGCTCAGGGTGGTCACTTAGGTAAGACAGCCTATTAGCCTATTAGTCTAAAAAAAATTTACGTGTTAGATAAATTTAGAATCCTGCCTGACCTGTTGGCCTAGCTGGCCTAGAGATGTTGAGGCTATGTATATTGATTTATCTACATAGGCCAGCTATCTTAGCTGCCTTCTGTGGCTAAAGGACATGAGCCATTTTGGTTTTCTTTTCTCTTTATTTTCTTTTTCTTTTCTTCTTTTTTTTTTTTTTTTTGAGGCAGAATCTTGCTCTGTTGCCCAGGCTGGAATGCAGTGGTGCTGTCTCAGCTCACTGCAACCTGCACCTTCCAGGCTCAAGCAATTCTCATTCCTCAGCCTCCTGAGTAGCTGGAACTACAGGCGCCCACCACCACGCCCAGCTAATTTTTGTATTTTTAGTAGAAATGGGGTTTTACCGTGTTGGCCAGGCTAGTCTCAAACTTACGGCCTCAAGTGAGCCTCCCAAAGTGCTGGGATTACAGATGTGAGCTACCGTGCCCAGCTGCCATTTTGGTTTTCAGATGTGTTAAACTGCATGTGTAGGGGTGGGAGAGCAGAGGCCTTTAAAATGCACCCCTTGCTGGTAGTGGGTTTGGGTTTGTGTGTGTGGCCTTCTCCACAGGACTTCTTAAAAGCAATGCCAGGTTGGAATAGGAGCTGCTTTGAACAGCAGACTTCTACCAAATCATAATTACTTAAGGAGTACCATTATAGTAATTTAGTTTTTATAATTATCATTTTCTTACCTTGGGAAGAACATGCTAAGATTTGCAGAAAAGTATCTCTTTTAAAAAGTATACTACTGTATTTAATGTAGTAATAGCCACAATTGATGATGAGAGGTGGTAAATGAAATAAATTATATAGGCATGACCTTCAGTACCATGTTTCCCTCTCTCCTGAGCTTCAGTCACCTTTTCAACTATCTGACACTAAGAACTCACTGAATATCAGCTATTACAGTACTGGGTATCTTGCTAGAACTCTAAACTCATCTCATTCCAGATAAAACATTGAATTTCCAATCCCAAGTGTATGCCTATACTGTTTATTGTCTTTCACCAGCACTACCATTTTTCTAATTCCACATTGCCATCGTTACAGGCATACATTTTTTTATTTTTTTATTTTTATTTTTTTGAGATGCAGTCTCTCTCTCTTTCCAAGGATAGAGTGCAGTGTGCAGTGGTGCAGTCTCGGCTCACTGCAACCTCCACCTCTTAGGCTCAAGCGATTCTCCTGCCTCAGTGTTCCGAGTGGCTGGGATTACAGGCATGCACCACCATGCCCGGCTAATTTTTGTATTTTTAGTAGAGATGGGGTTTCGCTAAGTTGACCAGGCTGGTTTCGAACTCCTGACCTCTGGTGATACACCCACGTTGGCCTCATACTGGGATTAAAGACATGAGTCACTGGGCCCAGCCACATACTTCATCTTACGGCACTTTGCAGATACTGTATTTTTACAAATTAAAGGTTTGTGACAACCCTGCATCTGACAAGTCTGTGGGCACTGTTTTTCCAATAGCGTGTGCTGACTTGGTGTCTCTGTCACGTTTTGGTAATTCTTGCAGTGTTTCAGACTTTTTCTTACGGTGATCTGTGGTCATTGATCTTTGATCTTACTATTGTAATTGATTTGGGAGTCCACAAACCGTACCCATGTAAGATAGCAAAATAATTGAGAAATGTTTGTGTTCTGACTGCTCCACTGACCAGCAGTTCTGTCTCTCCCTCCTCAGGTCTCCTATTCCCTGAAACACAGCATTATCAAAATTAAGCCAATTGATAATGTTATCATGGCCTCTTAAGTTTTCAAGGAAAGGACAAAATTTCGTGTCTCACTTGAAAGCTAGAAATGATAAAGCTTACTGAGGAAAGAATGTGGAAAGCCCAGACAGGCTGAAAGCTAAGCCTCTTGTACAATGCAGTTAGCCAGGCATGAAAGCCGAGTTTGAATTTAAAGAAGTTAAAGGAAATTAGAAGTACTACTTTGGTGAACAAATGAATGATAAGAAAGCAAAACAGCTGTATTGCTGTTTTCGGTGGTCTGGATAGAAGATCAAACCAGCCACAATATTTGTTTAAGCCAAAGGCTAATCTAGAGCAAAGCCTCAACTCTCTTCAATTCTGTGAGGGCTGAGAGGTGAAGAAGCTGCAGAAGAAAAGTTGGAAGCCAGCAGAAGTTCATGAGGTTAAAGGAAAGAAGCTATCTCTAACAAGTGTAAGGTGAAGCAGCAAGTGCTGATGTAAGAAGCTGCAGCAAGTTATCTAGAAGTAGATTTTCTAGAAGCTAAGGTCATTGATTAAGGTGGCTACATGAAACAACAGATTTTCAATGTAGATGAAACAGCCTTATATTGGAAGAAGATGCCACCTGGGACTTCCATAGCTAGAGAGAAGTTAATGCCTGGCTTCAGAGCTTCAAAGTACAGGCTGACTCCTATTAGGAGCTAGTGCAGCTGGTGACTTGAAGCCAACGCTAATTTATCATTCTGAAAATCCTAGAGTCCTTAAGAATTGTGCTGAATCTATTCTGCCTGTGCTTTATAAACGGAACAAGGCCTAGATAACAACACATCTGTTTACAGCTTTATTTACTATTTTAAATACAGTTTTGAGACCTATTGCTCAAAAAACAAACAAACAAACAAAAAAACCAAAATTCCTTTCAGAATATTACTGTTCCTTGACAATCTCCTGGTTGCCCAAGAGCTCTGATGGAAATGTACAAGGAGATTAATGCTTTCATGCCTATACAAACAATATTCATTCTGTAGCCCATGGATCAAGGAGTAATTTTGACTTTTTAGTCTTATTATTTAAGAAATACATTTCATAAGGCTATAGCTGTCATAGATTGCGATTCCTCCGATAGATCTGGGCAAAGTACATTGGAAACCTAGGAAAGAGTTACCATTCCAGATGCCATTAACATTTGTGATTCATGGAAGGAGAATAAAGCATCAACATGAGGCCAAGCGGGGTGGCTCACGCCTGTAATCCTAGCATGTTGGGAGGCTGAGGTGGGTGTATCAGTTGAGGTCAGGAGTTTGAGACCAGCCTGGCCAACATGGCAAAAGCCCATCTCTACTAAAATACAAAAATTAGCCAGACGTGGCGGGTGCATGCCTGTAATCCCAGCTACCCAGGAGGCTAAGGCATGAGAATTGCTTGAGCTTGGGAGGCGGAGGTTGCAGTGAGCTGTGATTGCGCCATTACACTCCAGCCTGGGCAATAGAGGGAAACGGTCTCAAAAAATAAAAATAAAAATAAAAACATCAACAGGAGCTTGGAAGAAGCTGCTTCCAACCCACATGGATGACTTTGAGGGGCTTAAGACTTCAGTGAGGGACTTCACTGCAGATGTAGAAATAGCATGAGAACTAGAATTAGAAGTGGAGCCTGAAGATGTGACTGAATTGCTGCAATCTCATGATAAAACTTGAAGAGATGAAGAGTTGCTTCTTATGGATGAGCAAAGAAA